ACATCATATATTAAGTCCAAATCTAGGACAAGAAAGCGTTCGATGCTATCGAATTCTAACAAACTTCATACCTAAGGTCAACGGAGCTTTAGGTTCGGTGACACGTGCACCATGTTCGAGACGGACCGTAATAAAATCACCTTCTTGCGCTTAAGCGCCTCAGCATATCGCTGACTTCCTTCAAGGGGATGGCGTCGGACACACTTACCCGACGCCCATAAGTCAATTAAAACTGACCATGGCTTATCAAAGCCCTTAACGGTTGCTGACGCAACTATCGAGCCTGGATTGTACTCACGCTTCGTGAAATCTTCCGCGAAGCCACATGGGGCTGAGCCCTATTCACATCTATCTCCTAGAGGCACTAGTGAACTTAGCTCTTTCCCAGTAAGCGAGGAACTCCCAACTGGGATTCGACGCTTTTCCCCGCCACGCCCGCCCTTCGGCTTAAACTGTTTTACGGCTCTACCGGTTCTGACGTTGCTTTTGCAACGGGCAAATTGGGCGTAGATACCTTGTTCTTCCCCACATGTGACATCTACGGATGTTACGTTGCTGCTCTGCAGCTTGGATCTAAACTTCTTCACTGTCAGTATAGGTAAGGTCCATAGGCTCGGCCCTATCAAGTGAGCTTGAAGGATTCCCATGGGTACCGAAGCGAGCCACTTTAGAGTTGAACTCGGCGTTCTGCGCTACGTCGACCTCCTCCATGAAGGTTGAAGGGTAGACGCAGAAGAAACCCATCCTGTCAACCCCCATGCGTAGTCATATCATGAAATGGCTACCCGGACCCTCTGGAGAAGGGTCCAGCGGCATAGCAGCAAGCAGAGGTCTAAGCTCATGAACAAAGCCCAATAAATCCTTCTTTTCTTGTCGGGAAGCCAAGAAGCGGGATCGCACGCGACAAGCCTGATTAGGCGGTGCGAGCACCCGAGATATCTGCTGTTTTTGCGAATCCCAAGCGGGTTACGCAGCATCTACAGACGCATCACACGTATGTACCCATTCTCTGGTCCCATCACCAAATTTGGAAAAGACGAAGCCAGCTTGTTGTTGACCAGACCTTAGCATAGCGATGCTCATCGGCATTTTAACTTCTCAAGTCCAGAGAAAGAGGTTTTACTCCTCTTTCACCTCGAAAATTTTACCGCCTAGAACTAGCGGACGAGCCTTTGGCTCATTAACGGACACCGATATGTAGTGCGTTGGCATAGCCGATGCTACATAGTTATATACCTGTCCGATCATCGTTGCTTCACAACGCATAAAAGCCTCAAGGCGCGCATTCAGCACTTCAGGGCCTTAGGTCATAATGTGGTTGATCTATTCGACCCCCAATTGAAGCTATTAAATTATGCAGCGCGAGTCGCTGCGCATCAGAAAGGTGAGCAACACTTTCCATCCTCACAGAGGATCAGTCATTACTACTTAGATATAGGTTTGAATACAAGTACTACCAAAGGTAGCGAAGATACGTAGCTCATAAGTCAGAGAAAGACTTAAAAGGCTAACAGTCTCTTAGTTCTAAAGAGCTGATAAAATTTACGGCTTAAAGCCCCTTAGTTCTAAGGAACTAACATAACAACTTAGAAAGTCTACCTGTTCGAAAGAGCTTAGAGAAACTTCTCGTCAACAAGCTTTACAGTTTAGAAAGCTTTACAGCTTTGGGTTCATAGAACCAAACGCACAGAGGGTACTAGAGAATAAGCTTTATAAAGGCGACGGTTAAAAAATGATATCCAAATATTACGTCACGTTTAGATAACCATGAATATTCTGCAAAAGATGTATCCTTGATACTTGTCCAAATTAGGATGTGTACGTTCAGTATGGGCGTTTAGATATGGTATCGGTAATACCGCTACTTTTCGATTATGGGTCGAATATGGATACACTTAACCGGCGCAACCCCGTTACATAAAGCCATCCTGGTATTTAATTTTGCCATGCCATACGTATAGTATACGCCTTGGTATATTTTTATTTTTCGCACATTTCTTAGTTTTTTTGGGTATCACATGGTATATTTTGTCATATTCTCATGATTATAAGTAATTTGTATAGATAGCACCGGTAGCTTACGATGTACCGGTATTACAATCTACCGGTGCAAGATTAGTAACCACGCTGACACAATTCGACAAGAATGCTGAGCCCCATCGAACAGTCCAAGCGCACGGTCTGCACTATTGTCCCCTTGTAATTACTAATCTTCACGCTTAACGTTTCGCTCTTTTTCTGTATTGCTACAGGCCGCACGTCAAGCTGTGGACGAGTACGTCCAGAGCGGATTTGTCGTGGGTATCGGTAGTGGCTCTACGGTCGTGTACGCCGCTGAACATCTTGGAGAGCTCGTGAAGGAGCAAAAACTGACGGACATTCGATGCATTCCCACGTCTTTCCAGTCAAAGCAGGTGCAATTGTAGCAGAACTCGGTTTTTCGCTATTATTTCAATTGCTAATCTCTCTTGCCAACAGCTTATTGCCCAGTACAAGCTCACACTCACTAGTCTGGACGAATGTCCTGTCATTGATGTGACTATTGATGGCGCTGATGAGGTGGATCTGCAGCTAAATTGTATCAAAGGAGGTGGTGGCTGTCAACTGCAGGAGAAGATTGTGGCCTTTGCAGCTAGAAAGTTTGTGGTCATTGCTGACTACCGCAAAGAGTCGAACAAGCTCGGCGAGCAGTGGGTCCAGGGCGTGCCTATCGAGGTCGTCCCCATGGCATATGTGCCGCTTATGCACAAGATGAAACAGGATTTTTGCGGTAGTCCGGTACTGCGCATGGCCAAATGCAAGGCTGGCCCTGTAGTAACTGACAATGGAAACTTTGTGCTTGATGTGAATTTTGGAGAGATTAGTGACCCAAAGACACTCTGTGATCATCTCAAGCTTCTTCCCGGTGTAGCGGAGGTCGGTCTCTTCTGTGGCATGGCTGAGAAGGTCTACTTTGGACAGACAGATGGCTCCATCACGACACGCATAGCGAAGAAATCTGCGTAGGCTGTGTGCTTCCGCAACAGCAACAAAACATATGGCAGTAATTTCTCTAATGGCGATCTTGTATTGCTACGACGAGTGGATGAATCATCATAATGCATGACTTTCAGGATATTTTCTTAGTCATTACTGGCTAGCACTGCATACAATGCATGGCGGAGTCAATGCAAGCTCTAAACATGCAGCAATATAAATGAAAAAGATGCTAAACGACTACATGTACATACGCTTGGACCAGTCATTCGCCGCTGATCGCACTTTGTTGAAAATAGTGCTCGAGACGGACTTGACGAAGGACATCATACTGGCCATCAGCGTCGACGGCAACCCGCACTTGGCGTGATTCCAAGGTGCCGTCCGGAAAACGGTGTGCGTAGAAGCAACTGGTGCCAAAAGGACATGTTCCTCTACAGGTAATCAGCACAACTCGCAACAAGTTATTACACGTGTACACTATTGAGGCAGGGACAGCACTTTCGATGTCATACCTTCCTTCGTCGAAGTGGCGGCACGGAATAGCCGACAGGTTTTTCTGTTCACGCATGAAACTTATAAGTTGCAGCTTGCCACACCCCAATACACATATCTGGCACGTACTCGGTACACGTCGATAAGGACTTTCTTACGCTCCGAATTGGTGACCATCCGACTAGACGGGATGATAAAACTCGTCTCCACACGGCATACTGGACACTGGCGTACTGTTTGCTTTGGCTGATCAGCAGTACCTCTCCAGTTTCGCAAGCATGTGAGACAAAAAGAGTGGTTGCATCCAGATAGCAATCCAAAACGCTCGCCTTTGCCAATCACATTCTCGTAGCAAATGCCGCATTCCAGATCTTGCGAAAGACGAACCTCCTCGTCCATTGCGAGCTTTTCCTCCTCGCTTGCAACACACTCGGGTAGGGAATGCGCATAGAAGCACGTGTCGCCATATACACACGTTCCTTGCAAATAGAATGTGCAGATTTTGCTGTGAATAGCAACAACAACAACAAGTCGGTCAGTCACTGAATAGCATCAGCGCGTAATCCAACGCTGAGACTAGAAACGTACGGCGGCGCAGGACACTCTTCATCAAATGCATGCGGTCTGTTCGTCACATTCTTCTTCGCAACTTCCACGTAAGACTCTTTCGGCATGGGTGGTACAGACTCAGTCTCCACGTTTTCGAACTCTCCAGGTGCTCCGTAGTAATACAACTCTATAACCAATCACACTGTTAACATCAAAAGAAGCTTGCAAGAAAGAGCACCATCAAAGATGTTGCAACCAACCTTCCTCCTTTGAAATGAAATCTGTCATATCATTCTTCTCGACCTCCTGCTCTTTCTCACGCGATGCTTCAGCTACTGGACTCTTCATCTTCTCTTCTTCATCTGAAAATTTATCAAGTGTGGACGATTCCTCCGTCTCGGCTTCCACTTTGCTATCGTGCTGGCTCTCTTGTGTCTCCTTCTTCTCTACGTGTACGTATGGACATTTACTTCCATTGGAGCAGTCGCCATACTTGAAAAACTTGCATGGAATGCCGTAAAAGCCCGGCGCAATCGTCTTTTCACCAGTACTAGAACTCACTCGTATTGCTGCTGCCTGTGCCTTAGCTGAGTGAGAAAACTTGCACTTGCGTCCCGCTTTGCACGCGCCTTGAAGGAAAAACTTGCAGGGCAGTGGACTCACGGCCAGATCCTCACGCGGTGCGTGAAAGAACTTGCAGCTACTGCCGTTACGGCACTTCCCAGCTGCAAAGAACAAGCACGGTGTCATCTTTTGGGCTTCCGAGCTGCTTGAAGTATCAGACTTGGTCGGCATGAGTTAATGAGATCTCTTCGGCAGACGAATAATTTGGAAATGATAAAAAACGGTATGACCTCGTGACTCGTGATGGATTGGATAAAAAGACTGATGGTAATATATAACTGAGCCAGACTCGATTCAAAGAGACTTAGTATTGATGTTACGGATTAGTAACGATAGCTAGTAATGAGACGACTTTGTCTGGTGAAGAGAAAAACAACTTTTAAACGTACTTTGATATATTGAAAGCGGGCTCGATGGGACCAAATTTTGTCGCAATGCTATTACTGCTTCCGGTCAGTGGCTGTATCACGAAGCAACATTTCAAGCCTGGCCACCATCGGAATTTTAGTTGATCTGCCTGCACATAGACATGGCAGGTGGTAAACTCTGATCTGACGCTTTAAGCGGCTGAAGTCGATGGCCATAAGCTGCGTCGAATGAAGGTTGTAATGTGGTCTGGGTGGAGCTAGTTGACGCTCGACCTAGACGCTCAATGGATGCATAGCCTCGCTTTCCCATCGCAGCATACCAAACATCGCCTCGTTCGCCAACTGGTTCAGCACCTTGTCGTCCTTCTCACCCTTGACATCATAGTAGCCAAGGAAGTGCGCCTTCCACTGAGACGCCTCGTTCTCGCCACCGATAAACATCCATCCTTGGCATTCCTCGCCACGAGTGCAGTTCTCAGCAGCCTCGGTCTGGACGGAAATGGATTTTAGTCCAATGTAGTAGTCATCACCATCACGCAGTCGGAACGCCACCGAGATGAACTCTCGATCCGACATGTCAGATGCAACGGAGGCGATGCGATGCACCACCACAATATCGTCAGTCACCTTCTGCAAAATGCGAAGCTGCTTCACGTCCGGGTAAATACGTTTGCATTTCTCTGGAGACGTGATGATCTCCCACGACGCATCAGCAACCTCACGGATATTCTTGTCACTAATCGAACGAACAGCTCGGAAGTTCAGACACGTGCTCGCAGCCCACAATTCCGTCTTCCATCCCATCGCATAACACACATTCGTCTTCGAGTTTACAGACGGACCGAACGTCTTCAGCTCATTGTACGCGTGACGCACAGCCTCGTGACACAAATTCAGGTCTACCACCAGTGTCGGACCCTTCAGAGGGTTCATCTGGTCGCTGATCCACATCGGAACACCAGCGATCTTCTTGCGGTCCACGTCACGGCAGTCGCTCGGCAACGCATTCAGACCGTATTGGATCATGCGAGCAAAGTTCTCGTGCTGTAGCAACTGCTCTTTCAACTTGTTGTTGTCCTTGCGCAAAGTCTGCACTGTCGCCATCTGCTTCTCGTACGCCTCCGTCAACGCCTGCTCGCTCATACCGGCCATCTGAGAGCACTGCTCCGTCAGATCACCACCGATGATACGAATTTGTTCCTTCAATTCTGCAATACGGTCGCGCAAGAAACTCTCCTCGTCCTTCTGCTTTTTGCGCCGGCGACGTGATGCGTAACGAACCTGCTGTCGACGGCGCTCCTTCTTTTTCTGAGCGTCGTCCTCCCCCATGCCGTCCTCGTCACTGCTCCCGTCATTATTGCTCGACGTCGCCAACGCACGTGAGCTGCTGTTTGAAGATTTGGACGTCGTCGAAGTGGGGACAATTGCACTAGGAGCGACAGCAGCCTGTCGGGGCACAGCAGAAACAGGCGCTGGAATACTGATACCGAGACCTCCAAGGTTAGACGACACTACCGGCGTGCCCATATTGGGTTGCTGGTGAATACCGACGCCCATACGTCCACCAACTCCGACGCCATTGGGAGACATCTGATTCATGTGCATGGAGCCAGGCATGCCATTCTGCTGCATAGGCGGTGCTTGACTTGTTATGGGAATTCCTTGGGTCCGTCCCGATTGTAGACTAGATGCCTGCGGATGCTGTGGCATGAGCTGCTGGTCGTAAACATGGTTAGGCATCTGACCGAGATGCTGTTGCTGCTGGAGTCCCACGGGATCGTTTCCAAGTGCACCCAGCAGGTCGTCCATAAAGCGCGGATCATCTTCAGGCACCACCATGCCATTCTGCTGCATAAGACCCATATTCGTATGCTGCTGGTGCATTTGAGGTGGAGGATGATACAGTCCGTTGTTCATGGGCAGTGGGTCAAACATCATGTCCTGTATTCCATAATGCTGCATCGGTGGCTGTTGAGGCGCACGCTGCTGCTGCTGCTGATGCTGATGATGGGACATCCTGTTCGGCATTCCCACACGACCGGTAGGCATACCATATGGCTGGTCCATTGGAACGAGATTGCACGCTTTTTTTGGGGTTGTTCCTCTTTGCGCGCAGATTGGTATGTGCCGTCTTCCTTCTGCGCACATCTAAGCAGCTGCAATTCCTTTGCAATTCATTTGAGAAACGTTTTAGCCAATACAAAAAGCTTAAGGAGAGATGGGAGGTACACCTGTGTCGACTTCGATTGTATTGCTGTATGCTTCTTTACATCGGCAGACTCACTGAAGTGTCGTTTGTTTTGGAAGAATGCCAAGTACGCATCCTATAGTCAGTTGCCTCATAAAAATGGAACCCAGTTGTATTCTCTGAGTCAGCTATGCTTAACTGGCCGGAAACCTCAATATGTGGCTGGCAAGTAAAAGTGCGCATGCCGCCGGGTGTACTAATGCAAAATTGTCGTATAATTGTCGCTATTGTTAGCTGGGACAATTAGGGCGTTTAAATAGCCGTTTTCCATGTAATTCTACGTGTAGAGAGAGCTTAAGTCAAGCGATCGACACTCATGTGCTGATACACTAGTAGTACCCACAGATAGATTCCATTACAAAACTGTTACTCTGGCTCTACTGTAGCTATATGTAAGAAGATACGACCTGCGCCTATTTGATTACTGACGAAAGCATTGTTGATAAAGGTAAGTAAGCAAATAAGCTCGACCACCCAAACTGTAGACGAATCCCGTCACCTTTTGTTGTGTCCGTGCAACGAATGAGTCAAATTTATTTCGCGTTGGCGCACTCGAAACACGGCACTCCTTGGTTTAAGGCCGTTCATATAACATTGTCAGTCCGCACAGCGCCACTCAGGAATGAAGTCGAGGGTTGTCGCGTCGTCTGCATCTGTACCCAGCCAGTTTATTATTCATCGAAAGATAAGACCCAGTAATCGCCTGTGGTCACAAGTTGCAAGGACAACTTTATCCTGCAAAACAGTACAAATGAATTGCATTGCTATTACTCTCTCATGTTGTCAGCACAATACAATCGTATACACTCTGATCAGTCTATTGTCAACAGATAAGCAGTAGCACTAGGCGTAGCCACCTGTCAGTAGCTCATCGTCTGGCATTCACCATCTTGCAAAAAAAAGAAAAGAGCGATCACGGAGGAAGAGCTACTGCTTCACACACTCGTTGGATGCATAGCCTCGCTTTCCCATCGCAGCATACCAAACATCGCCTCGTTCGCCAACTGGTTCAGCACCTTGTCGTCCTTCTCACCCTTGACATCATAGTAGCCAAGGAAGTGCGCCTTCCACTGAGACGCCTCGTTCTCGCCACCGATAAACATCCATCCTTGGCATTCCTCGCCACGAGTGCAGTTCTCAGCAGCCTCGGTCTGGACGGAAATGGATTTTAGTCCAATGTAGTAGTCATCACCATCACGCAGTCGGAACGCCACCGAGATGAACTCTCGATCCGACATGTCAGATGCAACGGAGGCGATGCGATGCACCACCACAATATCGTCAGTCACCTTCTGCAAAATGCGAAGCTGCTTCACGTCCGGGTAAATACGTTTGCATTTCTCTGGAGACGTGATGATCTCCCACGACGCATCAGCAACCTCACGGATATTCTTGTCACTAATCGAACGAACAGCTCGGAAGTTCAGACACGTGCTCGCAGCCCACAATTCCGTCTTCCATCCCATCGCATAACACACATTCGTCTTCGAGTTTACAGACGGACCGAACGTCTTCAGCTCATTGTACGCGTGACGCACAGCCTCGTGACACAAATTCAGGTCTACCACCAGTGTCGGACCCTTCAGAGGGTTCATCTGGTCGCTGATCCACATCGGAACACCAGCGATCTTCTTGCGGTCCACGTCACGGCAGTCGCTCGGCAACGCATTCAGACCGTATTGGATCATGCGAGCAAAGTTCTCGTGCTGTAGCAACTGCTCTTTCAACTTGTTGTTGTCCTTGCGCAAAGTCTGCACTGTCGCCATCTGCTTCTCGTACGCCTCCGTCAACGCCTGCTCGCTCATACCGGCCATCTGAGAGCACTGCTCCGTCAGATCACCACCGATGATACGAATTTGTTCCTTCAATTCTGCAATACGGTCGCGCAAGAAACTCTCCTCGTCCTTCTGCTTTTTGCGCCGGCGACGTGATGCGTAACGAACCTGCTGTCGACGGCGCTCCTTCTTTTTCTGAGCGTCGTCCTCCCCCATGCCGTCCTCGTCACTGCTCCCGTCATTATTGCTCGACGTCGCCAACGCACGTGAGCTGCTGTTTGAAGATTTGGACGTCGTCGAAGTGGGGACAATTGCACTAGGAGCGACAGCAGCCTGTCGGGGCACAGCAGAAACAGGCGCTGGAATACTGATACCGAGACCTCCAAGGTTAGACGACACTACCGGCGTGCCCATATTGGGTTGCTGGTGAATACCGACGCCCATACGTCCACCAACTCCGACGCCATTGGGAGACATCTGATTCATGTGCATGGAGCCACGCATGCCATTCTGCTGCATAGGCGGTGCTTGACTTGTTATGGGAATTCCTTGGGTCCGTCCCGATTGTAGACTAGATGCCTGCGGATGCTGTGGCATGAGCTGCTGGTCGTAAACATGGTTAGGCATCTGACCGAGATGCTGTTGCTGCTGGAATCCCACGGAATCTCCTAGCGTGTTCATGAGGTCGTCCAGGTCGTCCACTCCGTGCTGAACCATAAGTCCGCCTAGATTCTGCATACCTCCCGCACGGGTCTCTGGGTGTTGTTGGTGCATCATGTGGCCGCCAACGGCTGAGGGCTGATGGTACATGCTATTGCTCATGGGCAAAGGGTCGAACATCATATCCTGCAAATTATAATGCTGCTGCATTCCTGGCTGCATCGTATGCTGCTGGTGCTGGGGAATGTCACCCGGCATACCATACGGGACACTGCGCTGGTCCATATGCTTCAGAAAGGAGGTACGCGCGGGAGAGGGTTATTTAGGGTGATGCACGTTCGACGGAGCAATTCATTCAGGAGCGCTCCCTCCCCCCTCGGGCCAATCAAGTGGTATGCCATTACTGATGTCCCACCCAAGTCATGAATGGCTTATTTCAAGCTGGCTCTTTCATTTGTCTCGGTTTATAAAGCTGCTGAGCTGCTGTTGCTGTAAAGCAACTGTGTCGTGGCTGCGACTTGTATATTATTTAGATACTCATTAAACTCGACCTTGTGGGGCTTCTGTATGGCATGAATCTTGTTGTGGCTATACAAGAAACATTACACCTGACTAATCATACAGTACACTCGATACTTTCTTGCCACTAAGGCCATAGCTCAGCGTTAAAGGCTGTGAAGGAAGTAACCATCGTATTCAACAAACAAGAAAAGCCGATTTACTTCTCACTTCAACCACACGATTTTATACTGTCGGTAAGCAAGACTTGGTCGAAAGAACTCGAAAGAACCAAAAAGCCTTTCTGGCATTGACTTTCAAACCGCTTTCTCCAAAACAAAATTACTTGCTGGTCAATCAGACGCGGCGTGCGAATCTTTGATTCGAATAACGTCACTCTGATGATAAAGTTGTACGATAGAAATTTAAGCGTTTTGGTATGGGAGTTCTTCAATTGCTTATCTTTCTAAGGACGGACTCTACCGAGATACTTGATAATGTAAACCATTAATGCTAGCCATATAGTATGCGGATTTACAGCAATTGCATACTCTTTATAGAATAAAACCCACATAATTACCGTGCTTTGTGCTTTAAAAATACCCGTCTAAGTTGATTATCTGTCAACCCCAGGCTTCAACTGAGCACAGACGATGGCACCGCAAGTGACCGCGACGTGTTTTCAAGAGGTGGAGACGGCATCTCTGCGCATGCTCGTGCTACCACACGCAGGCGGTATGTCACGTACGCTGGCACTTGAGTGGGGCAAGAGTTTTCGCGCTGCAGGTCTGGCTGTGGACCTGTGGGGCGTAGACTGGACATGGTCATTGGCAGATGACGTCGCGGAGGATACTGCCGCTCTCTCGCTGGAGCTTGTGACTGCCATATGCAAGAAACTGAGCATTGGTTTCTTTAGCAAGCCGTTTGTTCTGATAGGTCATAGTCTCGGCGCGTTGGTGGCATTGGCCTTGACGCACTTCCTAGAGCAGCAAACGTTCTCGACTCCTCGCCACGTATTCTTCTCGGGGGCTGCAGGTCCTGATATGTGGAAGCTGTACGACATGGGTGTGTTGCAGGGAGATGCAAAACTGCTGGAGTTGCTGGACCAGTGGGGAGGCACGGACAAGGGTCTGCTGGAGATTCCAGAGCAGAAACAAAAGTTGTTGAAAGATCTGCGTGCCGATTTGATACTGCACAATGGCGTCGTGCATTGGCTCAAAAAGCAGAAGGGGCTGAAGATTTGTTCCGATGTGACGGTGTTTGGTGGATCAGAAGATGCAGCGGCTCCAGTGGACTCGTTACCCAAGTGGAAGGAAGTCTGCGCTGAGGACAGGGAATTCAATGTAAAGCTGTTTCCAGGTGGACACTTTTACTTGACGAGTGCTGAGAGTCAGGAGGTTTTTGCGAAAGCTTTTATTGCCAAACTGGAGGTTGTGTCTGCAATTGTCGTGACGGAGTCGCGTGCTTTGATCAACGGGTTAAACTCGAAGGTTGGGTTATATCCGTCGAAAAAGTGCCTGCACGACATATTCGCGGAGGCTGTTAAGCGGACTCCCAACACAATTGCTTTGCACTACGAGGGCAAAACGTTGACGTTCCGTGAAGTGGACGAGCAAAGTGAACGACTCGCTGATTACCTGTATCACGCTGGTGTGCGTCCTAACTGCATCTCAGGCATCTTCATGGAGCACTGCATTGAGTTTGTGATAGCTTATATCGCTGCACTGAAGGCTGGTGGCGCGTACATGCCGCTAGAAATTGTTTATCCTCCTGATCTTCTTGAACGCGTCATGGAAGAGTCCAAGCCAACTGTCGTGCTGACTAAGAAGAAGTTCCGCAGCCGCCTACCAGCCTGGCAACAAGCACTTGAGCTGGACAATGGTTGGCTCGATGCTTTAGCTCAGAAAAGTATTCCTGCCATGCCTGCAGGTCGCACGCGCACCCACCCGGATGATCTGGCATACGTAGTCATGTCGTCAGGAACCACAGGCATACCAAAAGGTATATGCTGTCCTCATCGTGGTGCTGTGCATTCGTACCATTGGCGTCTTACCCATTGTCCGTACAAAGAAGACGACCGTGTCGCATGCCATGTCTTTTTTGTTTGGGAGCTGCTACGACCAATGCTTGGAAACCGACCGTTGTACATCATCCCAGACAATGCAATTTACGATCCCGTCAAGTTGGTCGATTACCTTGACACTCATGATATCACTCGCATCCTCTTCACGCCGTCACTCCTGCAATTAGTTCTTGATACGTGCTCGAGGGACGAACTACTGCTGAAGCTTTCAAAGCTGCGGCTGGTGTGGCTTTGTGGTGAAGTTGTTACATTGGCGCTGCGTGATCGCTTCGTTCGTCTCTTTCCCAAGTGTGAGCTGCAGAACCTTTACAGTGTATCGGAGTGTCATGACGTGAGTGCGGTGGATCTTGCCGCAATGACCGACTATGACAACTCGCTATCTACAAAGTATACTTCTTGCGGCAAAGTCATGCCAAATGTGAAAGCGTATGTGCTAGATGACGATTACAAGTCTGTTTCTGTCGGCGTACCTGGAGAGCTCTATATTGGTGGACCCTGTTTGGCCATCGGATATCTTAACCGCCCGGAGCAGACAGCAGAGCGCTTCCTTAAGCACGTCGTGCCAGGAGAGACTGTCTATAGGACAGGTGATCGTGCACGTTTCTTGCCAAATGGCCACCTCGAACTTATTGGGCGCTGCGACTTCATGGTGAAGATTCGCGGGTACAGTGTTGTATTGGGTGCTGTCGAGTCAGCTTTAGCTCAGCACTCTTTAGTGTCCTCATCGGTGGTGCTCACGGAAGGAGACGAGGGTGAGGACAAGCGTTTAGTCGCCTATATCGTACCAGAAGACTGGGAAAAGGTGCCGAGTGCATCAAATCTTCGCAAGTTCTTGAAGGGAAAGCTTCCGCACTACGCGATCCCATCCATATTTGTAAGGCTTGATGCGCTTCCAATTAACAGTGCAAGCGGCAAGCTGGATCGTAAGAAGATGCCGTCGGTCGAGGAGGCCAAGAAGTTGCGCAACGAATCGATTGATTTGTCAGTGGATTTAAAGAACCTGCCGCAGACCGATACCGAGAGGAAACTTGCATCCATCTGGTCCGAGCTTCTCCGTCTCGAAAACGACAACGTGCTGCATCGTGAAGCAAGCTTTTTCGATGTGGGTGGCCACAGTTTGCTTTCGACACGATTGGTTTCAAGTATCCGCGACACGTTTGGCGTTCAGCTGACACTGGCAGACATTTTGTCTTCGCCGAAGCTGTGTGCTATCGCATCGCAAATTGACCAGTTCCTTAGCGGCCCCAGCGAATGCAACACTTCAGTGGACAACAAAAGGACGGAGAAAAAAGTGGTTCTGCCGTTAGAAGCGGTCTTGGATGCATCGATATACCCTGCTGCCACCCGTAAGGCTGGTTACAGTCGTTATCGCGTGGAAATGGTGGGATTGCCTCCACGCAACCTTTTCCTGACAGGAGCGACTGGATTCCTAGGTACTCATCTGCTGCATGCTCTGCTGAAGTATTCGACAAGCATCATCTTTTGCTTGGTCCGTGCTGCTGATGAGGACGCGGCAATGGATCGCATTAAGAAAGCACTGAAGGAGTTTGCACTTTTCGAGGAAGCACAAAAGTTTCATCTAGAGGACCGAGTAGTTCCTGTTCCGGGCAACCTCGCGCAACCGCTTCTAGGTCTGGACGCCGACACGTTCAAGATGCTGGCGACTGAGATCGACGCGATTCTGCATAACGGCGCAGAAGTTAACTTGGTGAAGCCATACTCCGCCATGAAGAGCGTCAACGTATTGGGCACGCAAGAAGTGTTGCGTCTTGCAGTGACCAACGGGTTGGCGAAGACACGCGTGAAGCCCGTTCACTATATCTCAACGAATGGAGTTTTCCCATCGGCGCTGGCCGCACCCAAGTTTTTGGAGAACGCTAACTTGACCGAGCTGTCTGATCAACTCGACAACGGCTACGCACAAAGCAAGTGGGTATCCGAGCAAATGTGTCACGAGGCTGCTCATCGTGGCCTCCCAGTCTCGATTCTGCGTCCCGGCAACATGGCTCCGTCCTCTCTCGTAGGCCAATGGAACACCAGCGACTTCATCTACTTGCTGCTCAAGGGCTGCGTGAGTCTTGGTGCCGTGCCCGATCGGTCTGACTGGTATTTCGACATGACTCCAGTAGATTATGCAGCGCGTGCCATCGTACACTTTGCTGCTCTTCGGCCAGTAGAGGCGCTTGGCCAGACACTGCACATCCAGAACCCGTCGCTGCCTGTGAAGAGCGACGTATTCTTTTCGATTTTCACGGCTGCAATGGCTAGCAAGAAGTTGTCAGTGATGGAATACTCGAAATGGAAGACGAGTCTGCAACAAAGTGCTGCCAAGAAGGACGCGTCACTCGAGCTACAGAAATTGGCAGCAGGCATTGATTCGTTCGAAATGTACTTTCAGAGCAACAAGGTTTTCGACTCGACAATCTCAGCCGAATTGCTACAAGCTCGAGACATTTTCTGTCCCATCATCAATCAGCAGCTGCTGACCACGTACACTGCCATGTGGGTGAGCTCGTCAAAACATAACAATTAACTTTGAAATGAATGTTTCTGTTATCACACCAATTAACACACAATAACGTTTGAGCTCTAACAAGATATTTAAGTTGAAGTCTTTGCTACTTCAACCACGAGCTCCGACTAATCGTTGCGCGTGTCATTCCGCAGCTCACCGTGCTCCCACATCGGCGTCATGCTCCATTTCCGCCATCTCCAGCCATCCCTTTTTCGCCGCTCTGCGTCGCTACGCTCGCTGTCGACGTCACCTCGCAGCTTTCGCAAGATTCTTGTGGCTAATCGCGGAGAAATCGCTTTACGCGTCTTGCGCTCGGCCCAGAAGCTCAACATCGAGACTGTCGCTGTCTATAGCGACGCTGACGCCAACTCACAGCATGTAAAGATGGCTACAGAAGCCTATCGACTGGGCCCTGCAGCAGCCAGCGAGAGTTACTTGAACTTCCCTAAAATCCTGGAGATCTGCCGTCTCTCGGAGGCTGAGGCGGTGCATCCAGGCTATGGCTTCCTATCGGAAAACGCGGCATTTGCTCGGGCTTGCCAAGAGGCTGGCATTGAGTTCATTGGACCTTCGGTCAAAGCTATTGAAGACATGGGCTCTAAGAGCGCATCCAAGGACATTATGATCAAGGCCGGCGTGCCGGTCACCCCTGGATATCACGGAGACGACCAGAGCTTCGCAACATTACAAAGAGAAGCTAGGAAGATTGGATACCCAGTGCTTATCAAAGCAGTGCTGGGAGGTGGAGGCAAAGGCATGAGAATCGTCGATGAAGACAAGGAACTGCAAGAAGCTCTGGATGCTTGTGTAAGAGAGGGACAAGCTTCTTTTGGAGACGGGCGCGTCTTGATTGAAAAGTATCTGAAGAAACCAAGACATGTGGAGCTTCAGATCTTTGGTGATAAGCATGGAAATGTTATTCATCTCTTTGAGAGAGACTGCAGTGTGCAACGTCGACATCAGAAAGTATTGGAAGAAGCTCCGGCTGTAAGTGCAAGGGCTTGTGGAGAGGATGTAGCAACGTGGTGCTGACTGATATAATGTTACTGTGACTTTCTAGCCTAACATGTCCGAGGCGCTGCGCAAGAAAATGGGAGATGCAGCTGTAGCTGCAGCAATGGCTGTGGGCTACGTTGGTGCTGGCACGGTAGAATTCCTTTTAGACGAGGACGAGTCGTTCTATTTCATGGAGATGAATACGCGTCTACAAGTGGAACACCCGGTCACTGAAATGATCACAAAGCAAGATTTGGTGGAGCTGCAATTGAAGGTTGCCGCAGGCCAAAAGCTTCCGATCCGTCAGGAGGACCTGAGCATTCACGGACACGCTCTTGAGGCCCGCATCTACGCTGAAAACCCGTACAAGTACGTTTCCAGCTCCTTTGCTACCTACCTAGGTTTTTAATTGCTCTAACCAAATACCTGCAGTGACTTTCTTCCTGGGAGTGGGACGCTGCAGCATCTCCGCTTGCCATACACATCACAAGACGTCCGCGTGGATACTGGCATCGTAGAAGGTGACGAAGTGTCAATTTTCTACGACCCAATGATCGCCAAGCTGATTGTGCACGGTGAAAACCGCCAGGCAGCACTGGATAAGATGATTAAAGCGCTGCACGAGTACCAGATCGTGGGCCTTCCCACAAACATCGAGTTTGTGACTCGCACAGTCGACCACGCCACATTCCGCAAAGGTGCTGTTGATACGAGTTTTCTTAACAAGTTTGGTGACGAGGTTCTTGGCTCGTTGGGAGCGTACCCTCCTTATGCCAAGGCGCTTGGGGCTGTGAGTTTGCTGCTGCTGGAGCAAGGTATATACCTGCCTGCTGGGAACCATAATGGCGAACTCCAGTCTCCTTGGTTGGACGATTCCCTTTCACACTTCCGTTCATTAGAAACGCTAGAAAGGAAATTTCATCTAAGCCACGACGACGAGAAAGCTTTGGTGACTGTCAAATGTTTATCGAAGACAACCTACGAAGTTTTAATGAATAACAATGGTGCTCGAGAGAGCCTCTCGGTTAGTGGTGCGATCGACAAGAACGGCGACTTTAAGATCCGAGTGAACAATCGCACATATAAGGGAACAGCTGTGGTTCACAACCACGACCTACACCTCTTTTGCAATGACAACAGCCTGCGCTACGAATACAAGTTCCACATCCCGCTGCCGACTTTTGAACCAGCAGAAGGAAGCTCGGATTCTTCTGCACACAGCAAGATCGTGGCGCCGATGCCAGGCAAGATCATTAAGGTGTTGGTGAAAAACGGCGACAAGATCACGGCGGACCAACCCCTCGTGATTATGGAGGCCATGAAGATGGAGCATGTGATCCGGGCACCAACAGATGGTAAAGTGCAGGAACTATTGTGCGAGATGGACGACTTTGTAACAGATGGTTACGTGCTCGTCAAACTCGAGTAGCTAGGATTCGAATGCCTCGAAGGTTAAGAGTCGCTTTGGAGATGCTATCGTGTGCATCATAGTTGCTCATGAGTAGTTCGCTACTTAAAGCGGCTACTCCCTACGACAGCACGGCTGCGTTGTTCCAAATACCTTACGGTCTTTTGACTATCACATGCTGGATAAAGCGTAATGAGATACTAAACTGGCATTTAAAGATACTCCAGTCAAGTAGGCAGCAGTTTTTAGTCGGACTAGCATGCACTTGCTCCTGCTGATGCAAACCCTCTGTTATCGCTGGTAGCGTGGTTGCTCTGCTTGTGTGTCTCTGAAAACTGATGAATGAATGACTGGCTTTTTCTAGAAAATAACAAATGCGCTTCGTAATTTTGAAAACGTCATCATAACAGCACAATGTACTGTTTCGTTGTGACGTTGTCATTTATGTAACACTGTCTCGAATGGGCAGTAAACAATAAGGCCTTGACGCAGCCAAAGGTCCCTGTTGCTAGGAAATAACGCTAAACTCCATACGTGCACAGGCTCGATTCCACCCCACGAGCCGCTCACGTCTGACATCGCATGTACGTGTGTACGGCAGTTCCCTCGTCAAACTTCGAGGTGACGACGATCTCAATGCTACTAGCGAGAAAGAAGCGACAGAAGAACCCTGTGGTACGTCTCCGAACCTCAACGAGCACTACCGTCGTTTTAACCGTCGAGTGCTTCCGTTCGTCGGAAATGTTGCAAGTGTTGTTGCCTGGTGAATAATGGCAATGCGAATGAGCTGCAGGCGGATTTATGAGTTTCTTGCGCCTACTTCAGAGAATTGTTTGCCCGTAAACACTCTGATTTGCTCGCAACCTACGTTTGCTGCAGCAAAGTGCTGGCTGGTTACCTGGTGATTTATCGTGTAGTTATCGTGCCTGCACGATAAATATCCAGGTAATCAGCCAGCTAGCACTGGCAGCTGCTAGTCATCGTCATGCGCAATGATTAGGAGTCTTAATTCATGACTAGGCCGGCATAGAGTCGCGGGAAGCAGTACACCTGGTCCCACACCATCGTGCGAGTGATAGATTGAATCGTGCTCCAATCCGGTTACGCCCCGCCACTCGTTGTGCGCCCCACTCTGGCCGTGGAGTCAGCTGGCATTTTCGGAGAGACCTGCTCGAGTGCTACCACCGCTGGCTGCCGCGAGCCAGACTAAAGATCTGCCCGAGCAAATCTGCAAACGATACGAGGAAACGGCCAGCGGTCGGCGTCTAGTGGTCATGATACTCGCCGTCCCACCTGACCCGTTTAGATGTCACCTTATTTCTCCCTTAAACAGCAGAACTCGACCGCGTTTCAGGTGCAAAGCGCTTCAGGTACAGAGCGCTTCGGGTGCAAGGCAGTATTTATCGTATATGTTGCAGTGAGTGGGTGATGGAGTATTTGTTGCTACCACGGCTGCAAGACTGAAAGCGTTCGGTCGACGCAACTCGCAGCTCGTAGGACAGGCAGGCGTCATTGATGCCCAGATAGTGCCGCGCGATCTCTTATGAGTGGTCCCACTCGTGAAAGTGGCTGGCAGCCGCACCGAGCCCTGCCTGTCTGTTGCTGCGCGGTCCCTTTTCGACTCGCAATCGCAGTCGCTCGCTGACTAACTGACTGTCATTTTGCAATCTTCCCCGTCTTACCAAGGCCACTAACAAACTACCGACACCACTTCAATGCGCGTTCTATCAGACCTCACCGTGCCGCCCGTCGGTTTGGACACGTCAGCCAAGCCTAAAGAGGTGGCGCCCTTCTTGCGCAGTCTGCGCCGTATGCTCGAGAATGAGAGCGTCGACATTTTGCGCTGGACTCCCAACGGCCGCGCTTTTGAGATCCTCGACATGGATCGCATGATGGACGAGGTACTACCCAAATACTTCAAGCACCGCAAGTACGCGAGCTTTCAGCGCCAGCTCAATTACTTTAGCTTCAAAAAATGGACCAAGTCTAAGGCCGTCATCTGCACCTTCTCAAACGACTGCTTCCTGCGCGATCGCCCCGATCTCTCGTGGCACATCGCGCGTAAAAAGTCGGTGCACATGACCATGCCGCGCAAGCTACGACCGTCTTCTATGTCGAGTGTGCCAAAACGCGACGTCGAGTTGGAGCCTATGAAGCTGGAGCCCCCGCGACCACAACCGTTTCCGAGCAAGAGCTCGTGGAAGGGAGCCATCGTTATCAGCGTGCCTCAAGTGCCTAGTGCTATGCACGTTGGCGGGTCGTATGGCACCGGACACCCGATTCCATCGCCTACCGACATGGACATGATGCTAATGGAGAACGATATCGAGCCCCAAAGACTTTTACAGTCAGCCAGTTTCTTTACCACCCCGCCTCTGGGTGATCAGGACGTAGACTCGCTCGAGTGGATTGATAGCTTCCTGCCATCGCTTGACACGTTTCCTCGACAGGAAGAGCCAGTGTTTGCAGGAAACACTGTGAACGTGAGTGTTAGCGCCCTCATGCGTCCGACGCCGCAATACCTTGTCTCGTCGGGAGGCGACTACTCTTGCCCGACTTCTCTGTAGATATTAGATAGAGGCCAACGTGGAGCGAAGTAAGTGAAGTTTCTAGTGTGTGCATGTATTTTCACGAAGTCATGAATAGATCCTCTCGTAATTTAATTCTGAAACCTGATTGCAAACGGACTCTACAGAGCCAGAAGATTACAATCATGATTGTCACAGACCAAGTTGATGTCTATTTCCCAGCGGCTGCGAAGGATACAACGTAAGGATGTGCTATGTATATATGAAAGTTCTCGACACTAAAGGCGTGCGCTGCAGAGGCTCAACCATTACAATGAACCATGACTACTATCAACCCCCTCGGTAGTTATCCTTGGTACTTTGCTTTACTGTATGGGCTTCTTCTATATATTACCACGGTCTCCGTCTAGTCTTATCCTCAAAAAGTGTACATTGTGAAGAGCATGCCGCTGAGTCAGCTGCGAATCGCAGCCTGATTTGCCTCGACGATTCGTTTGCAATACCGTGCAACTTGACATGAATATGACAAGTGTCCGATCGTCCGTTCGAAGAGAGCGGTCTCGGCTTCACTTGGAATGCTAGAAATTGCAATATAGCCCGTTAACTGTTTTGCCTCCAACTATTGGTACACGCAATCGCCTTGGTTCTTAATGATCAGCAAGCAGCTCTATTAAATCTTACTACCACGAAGTAGCACGTCGAATCGAACAGTCGTCGGATGCTGGTATTTTCTGCTTGCACGTACGGTGGATCTTGCTTCGGTATCTTAAAGACGAAGGCCATAGAGGCCAGGCTGACGTGTATGCTACCAGGGACGCGTACGTGGAGCTGCAGACCATACCGGTAGCTGTCCCGTCAGGTGCACTGAAAAAACGATGATAATTGTACAGTTGTACTCGGGTCCGAGCAACCGTCATCACCGTTGTAGTCGCAATTGCAACCAGTCTTATGGAACATGCGCAGCGAATAGTTTTGTGAACAACATTAAATAGATATGATCATTATCGGTGTGACGAGCAACGGTGTAGCTGGGCATGCCTAGGCTTTGCTGGCAGCTGTATCAAACCTTGACTTCAACGACCTTTTAGACAGAAAGACATACGTCTCAAGTCAGTCTAGCATCGAAATATCTGAGGTGTGGCTAGAGATAGTTTTGAAGTACCTGGGCTCGCGATCAAGCAATGCGATTTGCCTGAAGCAGCGTCAGACGGGCGGCTTGATAGCATTGGTCCCAAAATATAGTGTCTCGCTGACGCTTGCAGGGCACCCATGCACAATTTGTTCGTGGGGTGAGCGTTACCAGCAGCCATATCTACGATTACAGTTCGCTAAACGTCAAATGTCTATTTGATTTCTCGTGTTTGTCTCGCGAAATGTTGCCAAAACCTTGTCGAAAACCAGATTTTTATCCTGATCTCCAGCTATAATTTATATAATAAAAGAATAGTGTCCGTCCGTTTGATCCTTTTCCGGCATTCGGATTGGCTACTTTTGCATTATTTGCTACTTTTGGATAGGCTCATTTTGCATTTTTGCCTCATTTTCCATTGACAGAGTTTGCCTTTTTGTGTTGATAATTACATGTGCGATTCCATATTAGAGTGTCCATTGGTCGTGCTTCTATCTATAACACTTATATACAAAACGATTGCACACATACGTGTTCATATTTCATATAAAACAGCTTATTTATAAATATAAGATGAGACATGCTTTATAATCGGTATAATTTATGGGCTCAGTGCTTTATTAATACACTAGAAAGGTGGCAAAAGCAAGCGTTTTCATCAGGTTGTATTAAATTGCTTACAATAAGTGATGTGACCCATATGTATTGTATTTGCATTTTGTATATATTGTTCGTGAGCAGAATTCCATAATATGATATAGTCCATCCCTGGGTGTCCACATCACGTGCTTATATCTATAAATTGAATATACGAAACGATGGCACACATAAATGTTCATATGTATCATTACATATTGCAATATCAAACATAGTTTTTTTAGGAGAGTAGATGAGACACATACTTTCACTTCGTTAGTCAAAACATGGGCT